GGGGAAACCTGTTAAATAATATCTGTAGTGTGGCATGTTTAGACAGCATTTCAGTGGTAGGTTGAGCTCTTGGGTTTGTGATCCCCTTACAGACTCAGAAATGCATCTTAACTAGTTAAATAGTACAGTCTGCTGACTAGTAATAAAAGTAAGGCAAGACACCTGATTCCTAGGCCAGAGGCTCCTCAAAAGTAAACCAGCGGCGTCCCCAGGACTCCAGTGTCAGGCTCGGTGTTGTGTCTTGGCAGGGGAAGGAGACGGGTCGGTACTGACTGCGTCTTCATCCACGTGTGATCCCCAGACAGTGCCTGTCACCTCGGGGGCTAGTACAGCTTCATACTTCTGAGCCATGTCCTGTTCTGTCTGACCACAAACTATTAACCCATTTAAGTTACCATCACAACTGAAACAAGTGAGGAAGCATACACAAAACTGATGTTAATTTAAGATTACTTAGGGAGTTGCCAAATGGATATTCAAACATAGGTCTTCTGAGATGTCATTTCATCTTCTTTCCATGTGTCTCAGCTCCATTCAGTGTGAGATGCCACTGATGGTAAGACTTTTTATGTACTCTAGCTTAATTGGCAATGTTTTTTATTTTTTAGAGTGTATAAAAAGTCTTACATACTGCTTATAATTTTACTGAAAGAACCTTTAAGATTTAGATAGAGTTTTAAAATTGTATCATTGTTTTGTACATGCATGGAAAGACAAATATCAGCCGGGCACAATGGCTCAGAGCCTATAATCCCAGCACTTCAGGAGGCGAAGGCAAGAGGATTGCCTAAGCCCATGGGTTCGAGACTAGCCTGGGCAACCTGGCAAGACCTCATCTCTACAATAAATTTTTAAAAAGTTAGCTGGGCATGGTGGCACATGCATGTGCTTCCAGCTACTTGGAGGGCTGAGGCAGGATTGCCTGAGCCCAGCTGGTCATGGCTGCGGTGGCCGTGAATGTGCCACTGTGCTCCAGAGGTGGCAGGCTATCACAACCATGTTGCTACTGCCACCTGGCCAGCAGCAAGTGTAAGATGCCCTTGGCATCATGCTTTCAGAAGTGCCAGAATGTAAAAGGGAAGAGCAGTTCACATCTCTTGGTGGTGGAGCCCGGGATGTGGGGCCGATGGAGGAGGCCAAGGCCTGACATGGCCTCTCTTATCTCAGCCCTTCCCTCCCGCTTATTTCAGCTGCATTAATGTATCAGTTTTTAAAACTGAGTGTTGATTCTGTTATTAAGATATGGTTTAATGCAGTTACGTGTCTCACCGAAGGTGGTGTGATCTCTCTTGAGAGTTGTGGAAGACTCCTGTTGTGCGTCTAGAATGAGAAAAGAGGGAAAGTTGGAATAAACAAATTTCAAAGAGAAAAGTGTGCCATCCTTTTCTTTCTCACTTTTATTTTTTTATTTTTTATTTTATTTTTTGAGTTGGAGTCTCACTCTGTCACCCAGACTGGAG